GACAACTAATCTTATCTCATCTATTTTTTTATTTTTATGAATGAACCAAACATAAGAAAAGAACCTATTACAGGAAATATGTTTCTTATAATTTATTTCCTTATTTTTTTAGCCAACCAAACAACCTCAAAATAAATTTTCATAAAAAATCACTCACATCATCCAATAATAACGTGATAACTAATCTCTCATTCTTTGATTTCCATCTTTTTTTAGCCAACCAAACAATCTCAAAATAATTTTGGGAAAAATGTGTCCAGGCCCCAAAAGCAGAAAGTTCATGTGACGAGACCCCTCATAGTTTCCCCCATATGAATCAGCCCCTTGAAGTGTGACAATTTGTACTGCAGCTCCTTTTTAGTAATTATTATATGCTAGCTAAGCTAAAATCCTCAAATTATCCTTATCCTCTCTCCTCAATCCCTCAGACCCAACACTCATCTTCTCTCTCTCTCTCTCTCTCTCTCTCTCTCTCTCTCTAAAACTACGAGCTTTCTCAAGCTCGTCGCCCTGGCCCTCGCCCTCCTCGCCGTCGCTACCTCCACTCAGGCCCCCAATGCTCCTCTCGAGTTCGTCGCCGCCTCCCCTCCCCTCCTTCGCTCATCCTCATCGCCGTAGATTGCCGCCGCTCCCCCACAGTAGAAACTATTGCGCTGCCAAAACAAACTTGTACAGTACAATTATGAATACAATTTATAAACTAAACCAATCAACTACAACTATAGGAGCACACACCATGGGCAAGATACGTTGCCACTACATCCACGACCGGTGGAGCTCAGCTTTTAATCGATTCGTTGTTGTACTTCTCTCAGAGGTTAAGATGATGAATGAATGATTCGTAATATTTGAAGCAATATAACGAGAGGTAGAAAATGAGCCCAAGTGAAAGGAAGATACCGTGTGATAGACAATATAAAGGGCTACACACCGACAAAAACGGTGGTGAAAACGGAGACCGGAGGTGGCCGAAAAATGCGCGCGAAGTCGGCACGACGCTGCTATTTTCTGCTCGTTGCTACCGTCGAGCGATGTTTCGGACGTTACCGAGAGAGATAGAGAATGAGTTAGAGCATGATACAAATTAGAGATAATAAGTAATATGTAGAGCTACTCACCAAAGAAGAAATCGGTAGAAACAGAGATTGGAGGTGATCTGAAAGTGCGTGCGAAGTCGGCACAAAACTACAGCTTTCTGCAGTGTAATTTCTCACCGTTCGGGTTTGTTCTTCATTATTCGGAGCTTTTCACTGCTGTACGGGCTTTTTGGAGGTGGGAGGAGGTTGTCGGGGTCATCGGGGTGTCTCGGTGGGCTCCGTTGGAGGTGGGAGGAGCTTTTTTCCGTTCCCAAGAGCCTAGAACCAAGATGAATTAGAGCTAGAACTAGCTAGAACTAACATGGAGCGGACTAGAACTAACATGGGATGTGTTAGAACTAATATGGGGCAAGTTAGAACTAACTTGAGAGCCCAAAAGCCTAGAACTAAGATGAATTAGAGCTGGAACTAGCTAGAACTAACATGAGACGGGCTAGAACTAACATGACATAAGTTAGAACTAATATGACACAAAGTGGTCATTTACTATTTGATATCGTTCGAATTTGAAAAAGCTCAAAGACCAAAGTTGTAGGTCTTTTCAACGGCTTTCCAACAAGTCTTAAATCACCTCATTCCGAGTTCGGACGGAAAAATTACAGCGAAAACAATAATGTAAACTAATATGGTACAAACTGTATGTAAGATCTAAAAAAGTCTAAAAGACCAAAGTTGTAGGTTTCTTCAACAGCTTTCCAACAAATCTTAAATCACCTCATTCCGACTTCGGACGGAGAAATTACAATGAAAACAATAATGTAAACTAACATGGTGTAGATTAGAACTAACATAACAGAAGTTAGAACCAACATGGCATAAGTTAGAACTAACATGACACAAACTGGTCATTTACTATCTGGCATAAGTTAGAACTAACATGGTATAAACTGGTCATTTACTATCTGATGCCGTTCGAATCTGAAAAAGTTCAAAAGACCAAAGTTGTAGGTCTCTTCAACGGCTTTCGAACAAGTCTTAAATCACCTCATTCCGAGTTCGGATGGAGAAATTACAGCGAAAATAACAATGTAAACTAACATGGCATAAACTGTATGTAAGATCTGGAAAAGTCTAAAAGACCAAAGTTGTAGGTCTCTTCAACAGCTTTCCAACAAATCTTAAATCACCTTATTCCGACTTCGGACGAAGAAATTACAACGGAAACAATAATGTAAAGTAACATGGTGTAGATTAAAACTAACATGACATAAGTTAGAACTAACATGACATAAGTTAAAACTAACATGACATAAGTTAGAACTAACATGACACAAACTGGTCATTTACTATCTGATGCCGTTCGAATCTAGAAAAACTCAAAAGACCAAAGTTATAGGTCTCTTTAACAGCTTTCCAACAAGTCTTAAATCACCTCATTCCGAATTCGGACGGAGAAATTACAACGAAAACAATAATATAAACTAACATGACACAAACTGTATGTAAGGTCTGGAAAAGTCTAAAAGACCAAAGTTATAGGTCTCTTCAATAGCTTTCTAACAAATCTTAAATCACCTCATTTCGACTTCAAACGGAGAAATTACAGTGGAAACAACAATGTAAACTAACATGGTGTAGATTAGAACTAATATAACAGAAGTTATAGGTCTCTTCAACAGTTTGTGTCATGTTAGTTCTAGCCCACCCCATGTTAGCTCTAACTAGTTCTAGCTCTAATTTATCTTAGTTCTAGGCTCTTGGGAACGGAGAAAAGCTTCTCCCACCTCCGACGGAGCCTACCGAGAAACCCCGACGACCCCGGCAACATCCTCCCACCTTCGGCAAGCCCGGACAGCGGCGAAAAGCTCCGAACAGCGAAGAACAAACCCGAACAGCGAGAAATTGCACTGCAGAAAGCTGCAGTTTTATGCCGACTTCGCACGCACTTTCCGATCACCTCCAATCCCTGTTCCCGCCGATTTCTTCTTTAGTGAGTAGCCCTACATGTTGCCTATCACCTCCAATTTGTATCACGCTCTAACTCATTCTCTATCTCTCTCGGTAACGTCCGAAATATCGCTCGACGGCAGCAGCGAGCAGAAAACAGTAGCGCCGTGCCGACTTCGCGCGCGTTTTCCGGCCACCTTCGGTCTCCGTTTTCACCACCGTCTTTGCCGGTGTGTAGCCCTTTATATTGTCTATCACACTGTATCTTCCGTTCACTTGGGCTCATTTTCTACCTCTCATTATATCGTTTCGAATATTGCGAACCATTCCTTCATCATCTCAACCTCTGAGAGAAGTACAACAACGAATCGATTAAAAGCTGAGCTCCACCGGTCGTGGATGTAGTGGCAACGTGTCTTGCCCATGGTGTGTGCTCCTGTAGTTGTGGTTGATTGGTTTAGTTTGCAATTGTGTTCATAATTGTACCGTACACGTTTGTTTTGGCAGCACAATAGTTTCTACGGCGGGGGAGCGACAGCAATCTACGACGACGAGGATGGGCGGAGGAGGGGAGGGAAGGCGACAACGAACTCGAGGGGAGCCTTGGGGGTCTGAGCGGAGGCGACGACGACGAGGAGGGCGAGGGCCAAGGAGACGAGCTTGAGAAAGCTCGTAGTTTTAGAGAGAGAGAGAGGAGATGGGTGTTGGTTCTGAGGGATTAAGGAGAGAGAATAAGGATAATTTGGGGATTTTAGCTTAGCTGGCATATAATAATTGTTAAAAAGGGGCTGCAGTATAATGTGTCACACTTCAATGGGCTGATTCACATGGGGGAAACTATGAAGGAATTCGTCACATGAACTTTCTGCTTTTAGGGCATGAGCACATTTTTCCCAATAATTTTTCTTAGAAATATGTTTTCTATTATTTGGTTTTCCTTTTTTTAGGCAAACAAACAGCAATAAGACTACTTACAAATTACAATGGAGGTGTTGAAAAAAGAATTCAACTGTTGAATTGGTTTAATGGAGTTGTTGAAGAGGGTGTTAGAATTCAACTGTTGAATTGGTTTAATGGAGTTGTTGAAGAGGGTGTTGAATCCCATTTGGATTAATTTGTGTTGAATTAATTCAACATGTTGAATACCCATTTGGATTAATTTGTGTTGAATTAATTCAACATGTTGAATAAGGAGTGGGAGAGGACCACACACAAGAGAGAGAGAGTAGATTGGACACATGTCTTCATGCTATTGGGTGGTGAGATTTTTGAGAAAATAAGAATATGAAATAAAAGTGGTGGAGTAGGGTGTTGAATTTTATTAAACAAAACCATTGTAGAGTGTAAAAGTTGAGTGGGTGTTGAATTATTAGGTGGAAGAGAGAGAAGATGATGTGGAGTGTTAAAAGTAAAAGTAGGGTGTTGAAAAACAAAACCATTGTTGATAGTCTAAAATCCCAGACACATTAGTCCATCAGCTGTCCTCCTTGAACAGCAATCACGTGATCTCACTTCACGACAACTGTCCTTAGTTTAGACCTTTACTGATCTGAACTCCACAGCGGATCTCAAGCAACCCAAATCCCAACACCCCCTCCCCCCAAACTAATGGCCTGTTTGGATGGAGGGTAGAGAGGGGGAAGGGAAGGGAAATTTCATTTTAACCTTGTTTGGGAGTTTTATTTTGGAGGGTAGAGGAGGGGAATGGAGGGAAAATTTGGTCCAAATTCTTACACCCCAAATTGGGGTGTAATGGAGGGGAAGGGAAGGAAGGGAAAAAATTCCCCTTCCTTCCCCTTCCTTCCCTTCCTGTTTGGATGGAGGGTAGAGAGGGGGAAGAGAAGGGAAATTTCATTTTAACCTTGTTTGGGAGTTTCATTTTGTAGGATAGAGAAGGAGAATGGAGAGAAAATTTGACCCAAATTTTTACACCCCAAATTGGGGTGTAATGGAGGGGAAGGGAAGGAAGGAGAAAAATTCCCCTTCCTTCCCCTTCCTTCCCTTCCCTAAGTAAACTCGCAAACACACCATAAGTAAACTCCCAAACACACCATAAAGGAGAACAAAGAGCGGGCAGCACTTTTTCGTCCCGTTCCCGGATTTCACCATTTTCTCTCTCCTCTCGTTTCTTCCAGTCGCTCATCACCATTTCCAAATCCATCGAAGAGACGGAAACTAGAGAGGGAGAGGAAAGAAACGGATCCTCGGCCGGAGCTAGGGTTAGCGTTTTTCTCGCTCGAAATCGCCTCGCCTTCATTTGCTGAATCTGCTGACTCGATTCGAGCTGGAGGAGAGGATGAGCGTGAATCCGGTGCCGTCCTCGGATTCTCATGGGAACCTCGACGAGGAGATCGAGCAGCTTATGCAGTGCAAGCCTCTGTCAGAGCAGGAGGTGAGCTAACTCTCTTCGATCCCTTTGAAATCTTGGTTTTTTTCCCCTAAAGTATTTTTTCTGGATTTCGGTGGTTCCAATGGACCTTATGATTTGAGAGGTGCGAGCAGGAATGAGAAATTTTTTTCCCCATGATAGTGGCGGATTAAGCGGAGTCTTGTGAAACTAGGGTTTCGGTTTGGGGGTAAAGTCTGCTGGAAAGAGGACATTTGATTATTTTGATGTTTGTTGCTTGAAAAATTTGCGCTGGAAATTTCGGATGTGTTAGAAAGTTCCTTTCTTAGTGCTTATTTATGAAGATTATATGAAATTTAAGGGAATGGTGATCCTCTGGTAGTTTTATTTTGGTAGTTGTCTGTCTAAATGTCGGCCCGGAGGAGAAGTTTCATTTTTTGAAGAATCACTAACTGAGAGCTGAATATGAAAGTTATTGAGATTTTTAATTACCTGTTGTCTTTGCCCCTTCTGAATAAGACCATGACTTTATTTAGGCATGATTTGGTAGGAGGGGAGGGAAGGGAGTAGAGCAAATGAACTACAAAACAAGAGAGATAAGAATCTCCAAACAGTGATGATACAAAACAAGAGAGAAAAATGAACTAAAACGGATTGCCACCCCGCCCCGTCCCCCCCCCCCCCCCCCACCCAAAAAAAAAAAAAAAGCATTGAAGCGCCTAAAAACCGATGTCATTCACTTCACCTCGTAGCACCTCCTCACACCTCACCTCCTCAAAACCCCACCAAAATTTCCTCATTGTGTAATGGCGCAACTTGCTAGTTATGACGCAGTTGTACTAGTGGAAACTCATACTGAACATGGTTACAATAGAGAAAAGATTCAAGTTTAGGGAATATATTGGTACAAGGATATGCACATGTATGAGTTGCCAGCCAAAATCTACTACGCAAATGTACTGTAGACTGATAAGATGCGATAATATACCTTAAGAACCCTGGGAGTGTTGACTTACAGTTTTATTTTAATATAGTAAAATTGGAGAATGCTTAAGTAATTCACTTTTGAAGATAGTCACCAATCAAAATGCATATAATTTGTCTTACAAACTATTTTCAAACCTATTTGGCTTTAGAAAAGATGTGCAGATTCTATGTCAGTGTAAATTCATTGGTGTTCTGGTACCATCTAACTTTAAGATGCACCATTATGCATGATTAGTACTTTAAGGGAGATTGAATTATCAGCTGGTTTTTGGAACTACCTTCTAAGGTCTATCTACGAATGTGACATCTGTCTCAGTCATATTTAAGTATCTGAACTTTCAATATGTATGACCAACATTTACAATCATGTATGCTTGTTATTCTAGAAATTCCTAAATCATGAGGTTATTTGATCTCAAACTGCAATCATGATTAGTACTTTAAGGGAGATTGAATTATCAGCTAGTTTTTGGAACTACCTTCTAAAGTCTATCTACGAATGTGACATCTGACTCAGTCATATGTAAGTATCTGAACTTTCAATTTGTATGACCAACATTTACGATCATGTATGCTTTTTATTCTAGAAATTCCTAAATCATGAGGTTATTTGATCTCAAAACTGCAATCTAATATATTCCTCACAAGAAAATGACATTTTTGGGCATATACGTTGTTTCCAATTTTCTTTTTTTATGTCTATTCTGGCACCTCTTAGATGAGTGTGGTTTCTATAGTAAACCTTTTACTTTCTTTTCATGCCATCTATACTCATCGAGGTTATCTCCCTATTTGTATGAATCTAAATCATGCGCTTCGTGGATGTTTTTTCCTACCCATCATCTCATTTGCGGAAACAGTTTTTTGATCCATCTATCTAAAATTGTTATCATTTGTTGGAGTCCCAGGTTTATTATTGGTGAAGACCACTGAACTGTGGGCTTGCGTTTTGAGTTCCAAACCCCCCCCCCCCCCCCCCCCCCCCAACAACACACACACACACAAAATTCTTTTCATTTTAGATGATGCTCGTTAGATTGATTTACTTTTCCTACTAAACCAACATATTATCAATTTTACATGATTAAATTTTGGGTTCAAATCAGGTGCGTTCAACTTTTTTCAGACGCAAATAATTCCAACAGACTCTCTTTTCAGGTTAGAGTGTTATGTGAGAAGGCGAAGGAGATACTAATGGAAGAAAGCAATGTCCAGGTAATCTCTATTTGTTTACTTTGCTGTTGCGACCTGTTTCACGTCTAGATTAGTCAGTTTTCTTTGTTTTTAAATCATGATGTTTTGGTTTCATGATGACGCACTAGTTGATGTAAAATGTATGAAACTTACTGATATAATTGAAGGAATTCTAGTTAAAGGTTGAACCTTTTGATGCCTTATCTGAGCTTTAGTTCTTTTTATGCAAGTAGGGTTGTGTTTGGCAACCCTTTAGTACTGGGTGAAGATTGAACCTGGAACATGTTTGGGTGTTTATTTGTATGGAAAAAAAACTAGCCCATTTTTTGTAGGCCAAGCTTTTGGCCACTAAAACAGTTCAGCCAACCCTTCCGTGGCCCCTTCCAGATATTGTTTAGGTTTGACTAACCAGGACTGATCTTGGCTCAGTATTGGGTGGGTTTCCAAACACACCCTAGACGTCTAGATGTTTCATAGCTCATGAGAGAGTTGCAATATGCAACATCATATTCCAAGTTTTATTTTATACTCTTGAAATGTTTTTACATTTTAAAGAATTGAGTTGTCATAAAAAAAATTAACAGAGAATAATTGAATTGATTCGGAGCAATTGATATGGATCTATTTTACCTGGGTACTTCTACTAGGAAGCCGTACCCGTACCCGACACGTACCCCTACCCATACCTCTTGGACACTTCTTGAATATATGCATATGTTTATTCAGGCCTATAGTCAATTATATAATGCATGTTTTAATTTAAAACACTCTTCATATACTTCTTGGATGTACATTCTACACTTCACATCTATTTCTTATATATTGATCTTATGTAAATGAAAAAACAATATTGATCTTAAGTAAATTATTAATTTTAATACATACAAATATATGTAATATGCATATATTTATAGCCATGTCCCCATACCATACCTTTTACAAATTTGCCATGTCCCGTACCCATACCCATACTCGTACCCGTACACATGCAACCTAGGTATGGACAGAGAATAATTGAATTGATTCGGAGCAATTGGTATAGGGGGCTATTGCTCCAGGAAAAGTCAAACTAAGGAAGGTGGTTTGGGAAACAATGCAAGAAACCATGCAGAAGTTTCCAATATAACAAAAATGGCTTGTTGTATTTGTATATATAAGTATTACAAAAACAAACTATTCGGTTGGTACCTGTTCATTACTTATGCAATACCCATTTCCTTTTTTTAAAATCTTACTGTCATTTTATCTTTCAAAGCAAATATGTTTATTCTGAATCCATTCACATTTGAGTTGACCTTACTTCTACATCCAGAAGATTGAACATGGTATCCTGTCAAATTATATTTTTAATAAATAGTAGACACGTGTATTTACTCTGATGGACTTAAATCTCACTCCTAGACCAATGAGAGTGAGCATACTACCCCGTCCCATCATATCATGGATAGGAAATCAATGTAGTAACTAACACATTAAAAAACACTAAGACGTGAAAAAGGACACTTTTGTAAATCTATCGTCGTCATTATGAATTAAGGGATAAATCCATATTCCCTTTGTTCATGCACCTGTTTGTATGCATGCATGTTTGTGCACAACAAGCTAACTAATAGTAAAAAAAGATAACATCTCATAGTATAGATAGATGCATGACATTCTCCACTTAAGCAAGGTCATATTTCTCATTTGAATTCAATGTGAGAGTGGTTTTCTCCCATACTATGTAGTGATCATGCTGTTCATATCTTGCCTACGTATGCTCACAAAATCAAATGCCTTGTGATCAGTGCAACCTTGAGTCAAATTGTATGTGATGTACATGTGGTTCAGTGTGTCAACTCAATCATTCTTTGTAACCATGATCAACTTATCATCTTCTTTTCAACTTCCATCAAGAACTTCCAGTATCGCTAATATTAGGATATGCTTTCCGATTGTTTTCTGCATCTTCTTAGTTGCCTTATCCCAATAAGAATGGATCATCGATTGTTTCAGGTACAGACATGCAGAGTGACCTTCAGTTTGTAGTTTCTAGAAACGAAATGCATGATAACACTTGGTTTTATGAGTAAATGTTGATCGATTTGGAAGATCCAATAAATGCCTGATCCACGTGATTGGGTTGTGGCTTTCTACATCTTAATGCTTTGAGTCAATATTGAGTCAAAAAATGTGGATTTAGTCCATTCTTAATCATAGATCTCTTATGGTACCAAGCATATTTAAGGTAATTGCTATCTTGGTTCATTTTTGTATCCCTAAACCACTTGAGCATGAAAATTCCTTTGAAAAAAATCCAGTTAATCAAAGGCAATCACATCTTAGCTTCAAGTTTCATTTCATTAATGATTCATTCTTGACCTAGGATCTTCATATTCTTTCCGACTATTACATGATTTAATCATTAGCTATCTTGGAATTTATCTTTCTTTTTTATATTGCAGCCTGTTAAAAGCCCTGTGACCATTTGTGGTGACATTCATGGGCAGTTTCATGATCTTGCAGAGCTATTTCGAATTGGTGGAAAGGTATCGATTCTTTTCCTTTGTCATTTGATGATGTCATTCCTGAACTGCTGTTGATATTGTCAATCAGACTTCGTTTAGTTATAAGGGAGATTACTTTATTTCTCTCTGATATCTGTTACAACCATTCTAAGTTCTCAAGTGATATTTTTATGCAATGATGCTGACAATATTTTTTATTCATAGTGTCCAGATACTAATTACTTATTTATGGGTGACTATGTGGACCGTGGGTACTATTCAGTTGAGACAGTAACGGTAAGTGATATATTATTTTCTGAATTCTGCTTATACAATTCGAATGATAAGCCACTATCCCTTACTGGCTTTTGCCATAGCCTGTTTAGTTTAAGGAATCGTTTTTTCACTATGTCCCTGTTTCTGGTTTCTGGTTTCTAGTTTCTGTTTTTTTTTTAATTTATTTTGTTTGTAGCTAGATAAACCAAGATCTCCAGCCCATGATATACAACTAAAGGGAACAAGGGAACTTTGAAAAGGGCGAACATGAAAATTGTACTGAAAAAGTAGCGCACATAATAAAATGGAGGATTGAAATAATTTTATTTGATAGGAGGCAAGTGTAACCTTAAACTAAGTTTTGGTGAGAAATAAGCAAGAAGGATAAACCCCGAGGCCCATCATATTACGATCTTACTCTTATAATCATATTTTGATATGAGTGTTTTATTTTTTTCAACAGTAGCTATATGCATCTACTTGTTATGGAATGATTAATTCTGGGAGCATTTGATCTGTTATCATATTGCTCATGGAAAGTTTTTGCTTTTTGTCAGCTCCTTGTGGCCCTAAAGGTGCGGTATCCTCAGCGAATTACCATTCTCAGAGGGAACCATGAAAGTCGCCAGGTACATATTTCTTCTGCAGTGTTCTAGTTAGGAAAGTGTTTCCTGTCTTGAGCAATGCGTTTTTTATTTTTCCACCCCCCTGGGGGGGGGTGCTGGGCCCTTCATGTTTTAAGAAGTAAGTCATATGGATTGTCACGTAGGACCTCGACATTTGATTTATCTTCTATTGACCTGAATGCAGTCCATTGTCTTCCCAAAGCTGTCTTGCTATCTGTTTTTGTTAATTTAATAGTAGATATAATGTATAACTTTGTTCTGAGAATTATTATTTTTTAAATTGCAGATTACACAAGTTTATGGATTTTATGATGAATGCTTGCGAAAGTGAGTTTCTTGTTACATCTTACAGCTTTGTTCTTATGTTTTTGTACTGCATTATTTTTTACTTGTTAGACATGCTTTATTGAATGCCACTATGGAAACATCGTAAATGTATAAGTTATTCGACCTATTTAATGGGTCTTTACATGTCATGTAGAAGTTTGTTTAAAGTTGAGCTAGTATGTCTATTCAAATTTCAAAGCAAACTAGAGCCTCTTGACTTTTATATTTTGTTGCTTGATGCATAATCAGAATCAAAAGCATTGCAACTTCTCTACATGGCTAAATTCCCTTTGGATTTTTCAACTTTGGGCGGTTTACCTTATGATTGGAACTAAAGGTATCTTGGTGCCAACTCCTGTATGTCATTTCACCAGTACATAAAACACAGTAATGCCACCAAAAATACGACCAAATCAACCTGCATGATGCCACAACATATCTCACTTTGGCCATGTCCTTTAAGGATGCACCCAATTCTATACTCGTTCTTCAACAAAACAAATGACACCTTCAAGTTGATTAGATTGTGTGTCCCATGCAGCTATGACTTCTTGGTGATCTATCTCATATATATCACTGAATCCATTTCTAAATATTCGGAGACTATTTGGGATAAAGGTATACATTAATATATCTCCTATGTTGATGTGTGGGATAAAGGTATACATTAATATATCTCCTATGTTGATGCATGGATGTATATATTAGGTCTCAAGTTCTTTATTATTTTTATCTGCCATATTGAACCAGTAGCAAGCTGAAGTACAGCCAATTGAAGACTTCCTATGTTGAAGTTATTCGTGATGGGCACTATTCATTTTCACCGAAGCATTTAAGCAGTCTTGCAAAGGTTTCTTGTACGGTTAGTGTAGATGCATAATTTTCGTGAACTCTATTCTTATTCTGTGAACTTTTTTTAGATGGATTTAGGATACGAAGATAAGAATCCGTTCTAAGTTGTCAATGTATTCTAGTTCATAGGAAAAACAGCTAAAACATGATTGAATTTTTGTAACCTGCACCAGCAAACAGCATAAATTTAACATGTTATCTGCTTGCTTCTGGTGTGGTTACTGCAGTTTTACTTTTCATAAAGTGCTTTCACCAAATACCATAGATGTTTGTATTTTAACATTAATTTTGTAAAAGTTGGTTTGTTTTAGGGCTTGTATGAGACATCCAGAATGTAGGTGTCTTAGTTGGTTTGCTGATAAGGATGTTCTCGATGGAAGATATAGGTGGTATACATGCACTTATTTAGGTCTTAGGCTATTTTCTTGCAAATAAGGGTGCTCATATTGTGTTAATAATTGGTGATACTATCTCCAACTTACACGTGGAGGAAGAGATCAGGCTGATCATGATATACAGATTATTCCTCCTATAGACTTTTTCTTCCATGGTTTCTGTTAATGCAACTTGTTTTACAGAAACAATAGAAATATACATGTATTTTATTAGATTAACCTGATGAAAAGTTGGCCCATATTTTGAGAATATCTTTGGGTGAAGAGATGCTAGTTTTACGGTGAAGAGATGCTAGTTTACACCTCAACGCATGACTTAAACAAGCAGCAAGAGTTGATTATAAAAAAAAAGAAACATTTGGCATTAGTTTGATTTCAAGATGACCTTATTGATGTCTTGGTAACTGGTAAGTAAAAAAGTTGGAGTCATGAATCTCCACAGCTCATTACAGCTCATTACAGCTCATTCTTTTTATTGGCGGGTTACTATTAATCTAGGTTAAACGTATTCCAATTCGAATATGAAGAGTGTGCTGCCTATTGTTTCGATGCAGCTGAGTAGGATCTCACTTCAGTGTTGCTCAATTCAATAATACAGATAGTGGGTAATAAGAATAGGGTTCAGTGGCAATGTATGGGAACTTGGTATATTGGGTGAAAGAGGTGTCTTTGTCTCATGTAAAATAACTGTTATATATTCTTTTTATTCTATTTCTTGTGGGAATCCTACTGCCGCTTCCTTGTTGACAACTTGACATCTGGTTTATTGTTTTCCAGAACAAGATGTAGCTGATATGGAATTTGAGCTCATTGTTTCTGTAACCATATTTGTGTTGGCAGTGAAACATACTGATGCCTTATTATTTATGGTTCCCCGTGAATGTTAACAGAAGGTTACTTCTTTGGGGTCCATTTCTATTTAATGGATCTTATTTGTATTTCGTTAAAATTTTCTAACAGTTGTTACATCTCTTTTGGCAGATATGGAAATGCTAATGTTTGGAAGATATTTACAGATCTCTTTGACTATTTCCCGTTGACAGCTCTGGTTTGTTCTCAGCACATGTCCCCTTACATATTGTTGTTTATTGCTTTTCAGTCTGTCCTCAGACCTTTATTGGAATCGGATGGCCCTTGTTTTTCCAGTCATAGGTACAAAACTTTCACCATAAAAAGTGATTTCAGTAGTATATAGGATAGGAGTTTGTGGTCTTTTTAATCCTTAAATCTGCATTATATAGTCCATAATTCCAGATAATCTTGTCAGATTACTACTCCATGAGAGTCAGTTTGATGGAAGCATATCTATGTAATAGGAAGACTAAGGCAACTTAACCTAGTCCTGCTGACAGGTTTCTTGTGGTTAACCTTTCAGATCCCTTGCCAGGTCACTAAAGTCTTAACTCCTTTAAGGAGCAATAATATCTTCATGCTGCATCAACTTTTTCAATTTCTCCAGAAAATTGAGTCCGCGGAATAATTAGGAAATTATTGATAGCATAATAAATCATAGGACAATCAAGATACTTGATGGCTAGACTGCTAGTATAGTTGTCCATTAGCTCATCAAAGGGCCAGTAAACTGTGCGTATTGTGCTATTGGTGTATTACAATGAAGTTACTTGAGAACTTGAACAACATTGAGAGATCTCAAGACGACACACCTGTATCTAGCCGTAGGAATGTGGATGTGCTGATTTAGGGACATCATTGAAAGTCATTGATGCTAAGATCAGAGCCAGTGTATTGGTGGTATGGGATATATTATGCCTTTGAGGGCATACATCTTCACGCAAACTGTTGATATATTAGTATTAGTTAGGGACTTATTTGTAACTTGTGTAGGGGCCTATATAAAGCCCAAGAGATCTCATAATGAATTAGGGTTTTCATTCACAACATGGTATCAGAGCCTCCACAAAAAACCTAACCCTAGCCGCCGCCTCCCCTCTCTTCTTCCCCGATCAGACCTCCTTAGTATTAGTTAGGGACTTATTTGTAACTTGTGTAGGGGCCTATATAAAGCCCAAGAGATCTCATAATGAATTAGGGTTTTCATTCACAACATGGTATCAGAGCCTCCACAAAAAACCTAACCCTAGCCGCCGCCTCCCCTCTCTTCTTCCCCGATCAGACCT